ACACACACACACACACACACACACACACACACACATATACACACACACATACACATACACAATTATTACCACTCACCCTTCCAAAAGACTTCAAAGGCCTCCTCCGTCGATTTGACCTCAACTTCTGTGCAGCCAGCCACGTACATGTTATGATTCTGATCTTCACGGAGGATCTTGGATTGAGGTGCTCTGAAACAAGTTGATGACAATGATAAAACAGAATGCAACGCAATGATGTGTCGCTTTAGTGAGACAAGCAGCCAAAGCTACAATGACAGTTATTTGATGTTAGTGTTAACGGTAAAATAAATAACAATTAAAAAGGGACACATTCAGGGATACAGACGCATGCAAGTTTGAGCCATTCAGGGAAGTTATGCGTCTCCACACTAACAGCAGGGAGCCAATCCTTGAAGCCACCAAAATGACACAAAAGCTACACGTATGCTATTTACAGGGCTTTGGATTAATGGGATGGAAATGCACTGAAGGCCTATGTGACAGCAGCTACAGCCAGGGTACGAATAAACTGTCTCATGTACGTTCACTGGCCACATACATGAACTCATTGTTCCGTACAGGTGTGCCTCCACCGAGCCACCTAACGAAAACAGGATTCATAAAAGTGCATCTTGTCAACACACACAAAAAAAAAAAAAAAAAAAAAAAGTGTCTCGCTGAACTTATTCAGCACACGCATGAAAGGCAGTCAGAGTGGTCGTCACGCAGACACGAATGGTTGCAGAACTACCAAACATTTACAGATCACACTTATTGCATGGGTGCATTTGCTGACAGAGCAGTTTTCCCCCTAAATTAATTTACTGCAGAGCCATCTTTATATGAAATGCACCAAAAATAAACCTGGATATAAATATGCGTTGTACAGACAATCACAACAATGGCATTGTGTTTCAAAGAAAAGCATACAACGGTTTGAAATGCTCTTACTTTGGTCTGATGGGGTCAAACAGAGCGTCTTCGAGGAGATCATAGATATAGTTGTTGTAGATCTCGATGTAGGACACAAAAACGCTGTAACAACAGTCTTCATCCACATTCTCATATTTGCACGCCTCGTCTGAGCTGATCATATCTGCGAACTCTGGGTCAGCCTTCTGCCTGGAAAAATAAACCGAAAGAAAAGCAACATCACGAAACAGCAGTGAACGTGTACTTTACATTCAGTTCACTCAAATTGCATAAGTAGTATACACACCATAACTAGTATAGAAAGTAAAAAGGGAAATAAAGTTACTCAGTTACCTGGAGGATGGTGTTTTGGGCACAGACTGCTGACTGTCTCGCTTCTGTCTCTCCAGGAGAGCATCAACTTGACCCTGGACCTCCATCCCATTTTTGTCATCTGGTTTAAACACCTGATAAAGATTGAAAAAAAAACTACTACCATCCATCCCCTAAAAAGGTACATTTTTTTGTAGACCAAATACGCAAAGTTTCTTACAAATCGTTTGGCCTGAAAGGGGCTGATGGTGTTGAAGAGCATGTCTAGAGAGCGGGGGAGGAGTCCACCTTCACCAGGTGAGCCGGTCATGGTGAAGGTCTTACCGCTTCCAGTAACACCATACGTAAACAGCAGACCTATGAACATGGAATATCACAATCACATAACCACGTCTCACACAGAGGATTAGGGCTGTGCTGAGGTCAGTGCTCTGCGAGGGCTGGCAGGTTGGGAGTGGGACGGGCAATTATTTTAGAGGATATGTTCGTGATTTTCACTGGAGAGGATACAAAATCAATGGATGGGATTCTACACAGTTCCTCATTAAAAACTGAACTTCACTTACCATTTTTACAATGAATAAGGTCCTCTATCAGAGGCTTGGCCACATCCTCAAACAGCTCCATTTGAGTAGTATTAATACCAAATACTTTTTTAAATGAGTACTGCGTCTGATGGATAAAACAGAAACAAAACATACAATACATGTAAATCATCACGTAATATACCAGTTAGTGCCGAAGAAAGTATCGTGTCTCTACTGTGACTAAACCAGTTATAGATATAGGCAAATATGACAGTGTGATTTGCTTTACATTGATAAAGAGAGGTGGGCAGCACACTTACCTCTTTGAATTCCCCGTTGCGGTTGGCTTTAAGGCCATCAGGAGCGTGTAGCTGAATAGTGGAGTTGCTGATCATGTCGACACAACATTCCTCATTTTCTGCTCCAAGTGGACGTATACGACAGTAAACCTACAAACATGAAGGAATAGATGAGGTCTACGGGGATGACGCCATCACAACTGGAATAACTACATTCATACGTTCACTTACTCCAACAGGATCTTTCTCTGTGTTGGACGCCTTTTTTTGGCCAGGCCTCCGAGGAGTCTTCGCTTTGCTGTGAGCGATAAAGAATTACAGAATCAACATCAAACACAAAAAAAATGCATGCTGCACTGAATTAATTAGACACATCGCCTCATCACTAATTCACCTGAGTAACTCACACAATGTGGACACCTGAACCTTAGTAGCTTACACTCTGAGGTCCAATTCATCCTCAAACTCCTCCACACAAAACTCAGATACATATTTCTTTATGGCTTCGTGCATCTTCGTGTAGAGACCAGAGAAGACTTTCCACAAAAAGTTGTAAAAACATTAAGATTCCCCGAAATAGGAACTGAGGCCAAAAGTACATATGTTTAAAGCTACACAGCTAGGTCTAAAATTACTTTTGTAAAATAACTAACAGTGTAATCAAAAGTGTCCCCACAGTACTCGCTTTTTGTATCCGTTAACGTCACGATAACTAACGTTAAATTAGCACAGGTGTAACTTGCTAACGACAATTCACAGGTGACGATCAAGAAAAATATGAACTTAACATGATAGTTGCCTCTTCAACGTCAAGATAACTAAAGCTGGATAACGTTTAGCCCTTTTCATAGACACATAACACACATTGGTGGATAAATGAGCTGTGATATATCGATATATTGACCTATATAGTCTTCTCGTTAGCGCTAGACAGAGAGCTATGCTAACAGTATGACGCTAACACTCTTTTTCTTCTGAACAACCGCTACGTGTGCTAACGTATATGGATCATATTGCTACCACAATGCATATGTGTAGATTGTTAGCCGTTTATCGTGTTGAGTACATAACAAAGACGGTAATACTCACTACGGTCTCTGCATTGTTTGTGTTGTTGGACTCCTCTCCACTGAACACAGAGCGCCTCTTCTCGATTTGAAAATTCCCTCTGTGAAACGTTTTTCCGTGTCGCTAATATTTCAACCAATCACAGAGCATGACACGGGTGGTCAGCAGCGGAAGTCCCGCCTCTCGGATCTTTGCTCGATTACAACTAACTGAACGTGAAACTCACAATTCGTCACTTTATTCATTATATTCATTTAGTTGCTTAATTGCAAAAAAAGAAAACAAAATGAGCACATTGATTAAAATGACTTGACTTTAGTGCCATTTCTTTCTCATATATTAATTTATAAACAGTTCACAGCATTATCCTGTACCACTGTCAATTATAATATAATTTCATGGCACTATGTCCTGCTTTTTGTTCTCATACATGTATATGTTACTGTATTTATGTTTATGATAGTTTCACTCAATTCAAAAATTAATTTAAACGATCTCCGACAAGACAAAATGGACTTTCCTTGACTGTTTTATTCTTTAAAAAACGGTTTTAATAAACTGACATCAGAATGACACACAGATAAGTTTGTTTTGTAGTTTATTTGAAAATAAATAACATTGTACAAAAATACTTTCAGTTTTGCATCAAAGGCACATTGTGGCAGGGGACAGAGACAGCAATCATATGAGGTTAATATTCTGAAAACATTTTCTCTGTATCAGGCTACATATTTTACACTTTGAACTTGTTGACTTCCTACTGTGCAGGCAGCTCAAACTCAACAGCAAATCATTTTCTTCCCTTGTCATAACTGTCTCCTTTGTCTTGGAATGTTTGTCAGTATGTGAGTGATGTACAAGGCAGTACAATCCAACAGGCTGTGAACAAGCACACGCACTATAACGATGAGAAGGCACAGTGTCTAAATGCAGCACTACAATTTGAAATTGACAGTGAAATTGACATTTTGAATTTGACACAGTGATTGTTCCCTGCAGCAGACAGTCTCTTCATACCCCACGAGTGGAAATCATAAAACTGAGCATGTCTATCTTTTTATTAAGATAGACAGCACTTCCTCATAGTAGCAAGTGTGCTACTTTTGTAGCTTTTTGTAGAAAACAGTTTCCTGAGAAACATTTAGATTCATTACATATAACAGTAACAAACATTTTGTTTAATTTCCAGTGTATGTTTGTGCAACGTACGCCGTTATTTTCAGTTTACCCACACATGTAGCAGCAGTCATCAGAGTTACGTCTTAACACCCATAACACCCATAATGCACTCTTTCCCCACGTCTGTACATCTTGTGACCAGCTGAAATTGAATAAGCCGGAGGTTTAGGAGCAGAGGCAGGCCCTGGCTGAGGCTGCCTTTGCACCTTTGTCATGTTTCTTTTCTTGACAGGCTGGAGCAGAGAGGAGAGGTAGACTGTAGAGGAAGATGACAGTCAAATTCACCACCACACAGAGCACTGCTGCACCCACTGAGTTGGCGAAGGTGATGGGCATGGAGTGTTCAATGAGCCAGGGGCGCCGTGCCACCATGTCCTGTTGAACGGCCTTCATCTGGAAGTGGGTGCCAAGGATGCCGCACACGTGGAAGAGTTGATGGCTGTGACCTGCAGGGGGAGCAGTCGAGTCGCGTTTGAGTTCAGGCGGCACAGCGAAAAAATAAGTCATAGTTGGAAACAACTCCCAACTGATTTTAACACACTGCCAACTGATTTCAACAGAGAACGTGGAGGTGGTTATAGATTGGCATTATTTCACAATGATTAACACAAATGAGAAAGCATTTCATGTGTTAATGTGACTCCAGTGGTGTAGAGGTCTAAGAAATGTGACATTTGATAGGGAGCTGTTAAAAACACTGCATTCAGAAGCTATACAAGAAAATATTGTAGGATCATCATGAATGCATCATTACTGCAAACCTCTCACGCCATTTTTGTATTGTTTCATACCTTTATAAGACAAGTTGCTGCAAGTTTAAAACACAGAGGTTTTACACATTTATAATTTGATTTTTGGCTGTGAAAAAACTGTAAACACACCACTGACATAGCATCACCACAAGTTGTTGTGACTTATTGTAAACATCCTGCAAATACGAAGCAACATTTGTTTGTATAGCACTCCTTTTAGCTCTGTTTTGGTCTTCACCTACTCTTGAGGAAAATATCTGTCTCTTTAGCTGCTCCACTATGATCACCAGATAATTGCTAACTCTGTCTGCAGTTCGGTGCTGATCAGGTGGTGTGCAGTGGGTTTTTAGAGTTTTTCTTAAAACAGCCGCCAGCTGTGACGGGAAACAACGCTGATGAGACCGGTGAGAATGAATCAAAACAGTAAAGCTAAATCATATTTACTCAAAGACGCCAAAACAGACTCATGTGATACTTCTCTGCTGTGGTTGGCACACTGAGCAAACAAACCAATGTGTAACATGCTAATGACAACAACAACACTCCTCAGATCAGTCTCACCGATGTAGTCGAAGCTGCCAGGCGCCAGGCGCTCAGGTAAATGTGTGGCAAACAGAAAGCCTGTGAGTTGAGCCAAGGCGATGTGGTTGTAGTGGAGCATGTTGGTATCATTGTCTGTGCAGCCGTCTCCTACACACAGAAACACCTGTAGGCACAACACACACAGACCAGATTCAACAGATTACAATGCTATCTCCATTTCTACCACTTTTATCACCTTCAAATTGTTTTAATGAGGTGTAAACACATTTATTAAGTATCTCTTAGTGGAGCATAAAACTGTGGTTCTAGTCTCAAGAGGGAATGTGTCAAATGTTCCTCTTTCACTGACCAGATTCACAGCATATATCATATCTCACATACATTTACTATGTGCATTAAAAAAAAGCTTAACTACTGCTTATTATTACTTTAAATCATATCACATCAAATATAACCTTTGTCATGGACATTACAGTAACATACAGCCATGTATATGAAAAAAGCAGAAGTTCAAGTAAAAGATTTGGATTTAAAAATGATGTCCGATACATCGAATGTTATCTGTGGCACTTAGTGAAGACACGTGTGTGTGTAAAGTTCACGGATGTGGTCCTACCCTGTAGAACAGAGGAATGTGGTCAAACATGTAGGGGTAGGCGAAGGCAACAACACGGAGATATTTGCTGAACTTTGGAGTCTGGCACTCGGAGAATCTGAAATAAAAGACACAAAGTGTTCAGTAGCTGGAAATGTCAGGATAACATCTGTTATAAAAGGTCCATGCACTTAAAAAAGGTAATTCAAATAACTTGAAATACATGAATGATTTAATAAATAAACTATTAATTAAATGTCATGTTTTCTGCGCTGCATATAAATGGTATACTTTAGAGAACTCTTTTATCTAAAGAGTTATTATGGCCATATTGTTTAATACCAGAACACTTTGTAAGAGTTAAAGTCAGTGAGTCAGGTTGTTACAGAACACGTTTTGCCACTCTTTTTGTCAGCTCCTCTAACCAGCCCAGCTGAAACTACAATTAGACTAAATCATTGCTTAGGGCTGGTCCCCATCGTCACGCTTAGGTAACACCCATTGTGTTAGACAGAGAGTTGCTCAATTCTTAAAAGTCAAACATGTCCGTGGGATGAAGTCGGTCTGAAGACATGTCAATAATCACACATTTTGACAGGATGATTTTACATTTATCTGTTGCTGCCATCATTTGAGGCACGATAAACACAATTTATGATAGAATGGTGAAGCAATAGGAGCAGATTTTTAACAAATGCATTGTTTTTTTTACCTCTTTAGGACGTCATGATTATAGTGGACAAATGGTAGGCCAAGCCTTAGCAGTGGGGAGAGATGAGGAAAAGAACACTATATTAGCTAGACCGAGCCAACATCAATCCAGTACATGAAGAGATAACATTGTGATAATTGTTCGGAGGTACGGTGCTGATTTTAGACAGAATGTGTACTGAAGTGTTCTCCTCAGTGACAAAGGTCCTACAAACTTAATATTTCTCATTTTAGTTCACATTTGATGAAAACCACTGCATTATTCGGCCTTATTTACCAACCACAGTGATCACACATGTATTCACAAGCAACTCAGCAGAATATAATGTGCAGTAATTAGCTCCACCGTTACCAACTATAACATTAAGGGGATCAACATATTAATGCATCAATAATTATAATCCAACAATCTTCGGAAATTGGCGTAATGACTAGTTTTAATGTGAATATTTGTACTTTTACTTCAGTCAAATTTTGAATGAAGGATTTTTACTTGTAAGCGAGTATTCATACATGTGGTACTGCTACTTTTACTGACGTAAAATATCTGAGTAGCCTACTTCTTGTACCTCTGGACCAGGACTACACTTTTGAGGTACACGTTAACGTTATCCTTATTTACAAGTGAAGCCAACAGTAAATAAAGACACTGGAGATGAGAGAACACTGTATGGATACCGTGCATGTTAATGTAGCTACTAAATGTTAATTTGCTGAGGTGTAACATTTAGCATGAACATGCTAAAATGTAGTATCTAGCATTTAGCATATTAGCCTGTTATTATGCTAACAGGCACAGTTTGTACCTCTCATGTATTATAAGTGTTCACATTTAACTAACAAAGATCATTTTACCTTAACTGTTGCAAGTAAAACACCTTTCTGGGGATTTGTATTTTAGGAACGCATGCTAAGCGCTGTGACTTAAAACTGGATGCTTGCCAGCAGGTTAATCTTCTTTCTAAAAGAGAACACTGATATTTATTGTTCTCTGTGTTGTCACCATACCTGGAGTAGCAGGCTATGACGGTGCAGATGACAGTGTTAAACACAGCGATGGGAACGTAGCACCGGTGGAAGAAGCTGTTCACCCACTTGTCCGGGAAAACATAAGCTGAATAGACGATTGCTGAGCCTGCAGCAGGACATATTAAACAGTGCACAATTATACATTTTGAACACAGTTTGTTTCATGTTAGGAAAAGTATGCGTACACTCCAGTTAGATACTTTGTCCAACACCATTTACAAAATGTACAGGAGGAAGACAGAGTATTAAAAAACCTTGTTTTTAATACAAAGACATTCAACGCAACACCATCAATAACTTCCATCAATGCTTGAATCCAAACATTAAAGCCTCACAAAAAAGTATGGATTGATTATACTGGTAATAATATTCTGCAGTCAGTTTGAGTATCTCTGTTGCTGTCTTTTTATTTTTTAATTGTTTGAGAGTCAGAACTTTGTTACCTCTATGTTTACAGACAAAGACAGCATATTTGATTTGATCTGATTAAATTTGATTTCCCTTTATCGTCAGATTTCTCTAAAATTTAAAAAGACATACACAGTTTCACTAAACACAACATTTTAAGACACTCCATGCATATATTTTACATGCACATGGTTTCCGTTACTGACGCTAACTTGTTAACCTCTTAACAAGCCAGTGGGCAGGGGGGTATTCCGCCTGCCAACGGGTTAGGGTTTAGGTTTTAAGGTTAGATGACCAATGTTTTATTAAATTATGGTAAAATGTTTTATATTCATCAAACTGCTTCTGTATGTTTCCCGGTGTCACAGAAGTGAGTAAAAGCAGTTGGCACACACTTCATTTTAATGAAAATAAAACCTTTCATTCAAAACATTGTTGATCATCATTTAACCCTGGACCCTCAATCCTGGCGGTCAGGTGGGTTTTTAAGAGGTTAAGTTATAGTAAAGTAAGTGCTCAGTGCATAACACACAGCCGCTCTTGGACCTATTGACAGAGAACCACATGCACTTACCCAGGCTGTAGAAACTGAGGGCAGCGTAGTCGAAGAAGAAGCAGATGTGGCGTGCCCGCGCCGACATGCTGCTGAAGGTGTGAGCAAGGCTCGACGCCAGCGGATAAATGCAGCAGGTGAGCAGGAAGAGCACCAGAGGCCAGCTGAAGGAGTCCTTCCATGCTGTCTGCACCAACACCACCGTCACTGCTTCCCATAGGAAGTACCTGCCAGGAGGAACAGGTCACATTAACTTGATCATATTGGATGCAGCAGTTTTGGAACCTGAGCATCATATCACACGTCAAGCAATTGGTCCCATGCACAATACAAAAAAGGGAGCAAATAAGTGTCAACATATACAGACGACTGACATATTAAAGGAATATAAAAAGGGGGGTCACTGGATGCTTTCAAGAGTATATCACCTATGTGAAGGATATGTCCTTCACAGTCACACCTATGAGAGATTTTGGAGCATTATAATGTTTGTTTCTTTGAGTTTGTCACCCAACTGTGGATTCATGGAGCTAAGTGGAGGTATGTAGCCTCTGCTCAACTTCAATGAGGGGAAGAAATGCTGACATCCTTACCAGGGGTAGATAGAGAAGCAAAACACTGTTGGTGTGGTCTTACTTTATACGTCTGATAGCATCATAAACGCATTAAGAAATGGAAGTAGTCAATGTTACAAGAGAAGGTATTTAATCAGTGAAAACATTGCCTCAGTACTGAGTTCTAGCAGCCAGCGATAACAAAGCACACAGCTGATCAGTTTCTATCTTTAATTTAGGCTGTTATCTGTCCCACTGTAGTAGTATCAGTAGTAGTATTGCAGGAATATTTGTACATAAGAGAAAATATAAGAGTGGCTTAACATTCGGTGTATGATATTTACACATCATAATTTCAGCACGTCACTTAGCATAAAACCACAACTTGTCATTTCAATATTTCTATTTGTATAAGGATCAAGCAAACACAATATAACATAATTGCTAAGCTTCCGAGGTGTTGCTAGTTATATTTCTAAACATGTGGAGAGAGCCGTGCGAGCTGTTTCCCTCTGCTTCTAGTCTTTATGCTAAGCTAAGCTAACTGCCTCCCGGCTCTGGCTCCATATCTCATGCACGGACACGAGAGTGTTCATCTAAATCTAAGCAAGAAAGTTTTTTTTAACCAACCAAAACAAACTGGAACATTCAAGCAGCTCCGTTTGGTGAAAGTAAACCCTGAACCATCGAACCTTAAGAGACTTAATAATGAAAACTACAAAACAACAGAGATGTACGAACTTCCTGTTTGATGGCCAATTACCTTCTCTAGCGGGCCTGAACAGAATGCCAATATTGTCATGGATAGTACTCTTTAGATCTTATTACATATTTATCTTATACACACACACACACACACACACACACACACACACACACACACATATCGACAACCGAGACAGACATCTGATATGTTCACAGCATTTCATCCCTGTACCTGTCAGTACCTGTCAACGTAGTCAGAACAAAGCGTCACTCAATCAAACCCTGCATTTGTTAGTAACTCTGAGTGACATAACAGTTCCACACAAAAAGCTCAGTCTTATCATAGTTTTTGCCTCGTGTGTCCATTTCCACGCCTCTCATTAACAAATCATCATTATTTGTGCTTTTCCCCGTCATTGAGCAGTTAACTAATTGAGTCAACTCATAAGCCTCGAGCACAGATCTGCTCATTAGCGGCTTGCCTGTTGGTTTGTGCCGAGCCCCAAGACACAAACACCCATGTGGCCTTAGAATATGCTCAACGCTCAGCCACACACAGCCACCTGCACACACACACACAAACACACACACACACACACACACATATACACACTTTCTCCCTGGGCTATGCAGCCAAAGCAACTGGCATCTCAGCAGGGAGGAAGTGCATCGTGGCTCCTGGGGGCAGCAACCTCTGTAGTATCTTTAAATCACGAGATCTACTCACATAAACACACATCTACAAAATAAAAAATAATTGCATCAGTGAAGTCTTGGATTTAACCTTCATGTGGTCATGCTGTGGTTGTCAAACAGAGAGGAGACACTAAACTTGGGGAGGAAGTTAAAAATGTTGCTTTAAGCTCCAGATCAATGTTAGCCGGCAGATACGGAAATCATTCTTTAACTTGTCTATCTTTGGCATTCTTCCTCTTCAGTTGTTCAGCCTCTCTGTTTGCTCGTACAGGTGTTGCATCCTAAGTCTCTCAATACACTGTAAAAAATATGAGAAAACTCAAAGAAATTAGGCAATAAGCTGCAAAGTCGTCTTGAGTTAAGAAGCTCTACTGTTTGTTTCATCAAACCTTAAATTACTAATTACATCACTTGGTTACTCTTTTGTCTGGGCTTCTTGAACGTTTTAAGGTAGACAAACAAAATTGAAGTTGCTCCGAAAGCTTAGTTATATTGTCACCAGTTGATATCCAGTTTGTAAAGCAGTGCTTCCTCCACGCACAGCGACTAATCTAAGCCCTACAGCTTCTGATTCTTCTAACCGCCACATTCAAACATGGATCAATGGATCGGGGTTTGCAATGGGAGGATTAAATGTGTTACAAAGATGACAAGAAGTGGATTTTTTTTAATCTCTTAATCAGAGAGAAGACCACCGCGACTCATCTGAGACACATGTATAGTCGGACTGTCCTCAACATTCTTAGCCGACGAAGATTTTGTCGACAAATCAATCAGTTGATTTCATCGACAGATCTGTAAAACTGAGTTCTCCACAAAGAACCACGCAAAGCATCACTTTAAATCTTGTGTTTACCAGAAATATGCTCATAAATGTATTGGGAAGAAGTCGTTCAGCATGAAAAAAACCATTAAAAAATGACTAATCGACTAAAGATGCTAAGACCAAAATGGCCAGTTAATTGACTAAGTGGGGGCGGCCCTACACACAACTATAAATAGACAAATCCAATTGTTCTCTCAACTCAATAAAAATGAGGCTTTCCGGAGTTGTCAAACTTTTGTGATGAGGTGGACTTTCATCAGTTGTACCAAACAGTATTAATCGATGTTTTCACAATGTATGGTGAAAAGGTTGAGTAAATGTATGAGCTGAATGACACTGATAAATACACTGTATGAATGCAGCCGTACTATGAGAGTCCTGTTGGACTGGATGCCTGCTGCACATACAGTACAAGGCCACTAACAGGGAGGCACTGCAGGAGGTCAATAGGACACACATGGTTGCTGGGATGTATGTCTTCAAAACAAACCTGTTTGTGTGTGCAATCATTCTCATCTTGCTTGAGTCATTCCAGTTCATACGTGTCCTATGCCAACTGCCCACGCTATCCTCAACTGCTTCGTTACTAGGAAAAGTCCATTGCACTCCCAACACCTTGAAGAGTATATTTATGGTACTAAATATGCACCACTGACAGATACTATGAATACCAATCAGACAGATACTGTAACTCTGGATATGAGCAGTAAAAATGAATGGTAGCCTTTAGTCGGCAATGTGCCAGAACTGATATAATTAATCCTCGGTCTATGTGTGATAGCAGCTAAAGACTTCAGAAAATGTCAGTCTGTAAATCCACAGATTGAAATTCTATCTTCCTGTCTCACCTACAAGCTCTACAAGCTGTGCAAGATTCCTTTTAACACAAAGACGAGCGACGTCTCGTCACTGGTATGAAAACAACAAATGCTCTGATTTGCTTAAGTGGGAATTTGGAAAATTCCAGAGGATGCAATGTAATTAACTCACTAACTCCGCCACTGGCCTGCAAAACAAAAACAACTGAATATTCCCTCAGGTGTGTCACATGTTGCTGGTCTACAAGACACGACAGCTAGCAAGCACACGTTTATGGCTCTTAAAATTGCGATGCATTCGGGACACATTTAGAGTGTTTACCATGTGGGCAAAAAGTGGGTCCAGATGTTGAGCGTCTCATTGGTCAGCTGGAAGAGGCTCAGGATGCAGTCGGTGGCTGAGCTGTGGGGGTGTCGGTAGCCGGAGATGATGCTGTCCTCGTGGAAAACCTTGAGAGAGGAAACTCTTAGTAAGTCCTCAGCCGGTTTGACAAATTTGTGAAACCTATTATTCTCCTGCTCTGGAGGCAGAAGAAGTCGCTCAACGAAGCAAAATACTCAAGACTAGGAAATCTCAGTGGACCAAGTGTTGCTTGTTTGAGAGGGGTTCCACCAAGGAGTCCCAAAATAAAATGGTTACAGTTATTAGAAAGAAAAGTAGAGGTTTTTTGTTGGTCAAGATTATGTTTTTGATTTAATCTTTCTGGGGTTTCAAGCCAAAATGGTTATCAACCACTGATTTAGGAGGACTTCGTCACATTATATTGGCAGTTTTTGTACAAAGCGCCAATATTTTCTGCAGCAGCCCTCTCAAACTCACAGGAGTAATCAATGTTTATTTCATGAAGTGAACCATTAAAGGTGTAAGTCAAAGTGTGACTCTCTGGGCAAAATGAATACACTACTTTTTACTCTTTTGACTTGAAGTTTTAAAGGTCCCATATTAGAAAAAGTAAGATTCTCATGTTTATTTAGTGATGATTTTCAATTGTATCATATATTATTCAGGTCCAAGTGCTATATAAATACTGCATTGAAATACACATCCAGTATTCAGAAACTGTCTTTAAATGAACCGTCAGGATTTCTTTGATTGTGACGCCACAGCTACACAACATGTAGACCATTTCACAGTTTTTAAAGGTAAACTGTCTGAACGTATCCCAGTCTATTTCCTGTTGCAGTGTATGTGAATGACATCAGCTGACAGGAACTAAACATGGACCAAAGCTGTTGCCTAGTAATGCAATTCTGTTGAAAAGAGCTAAAACGGAGTGTTTCAGACAGAGGGTGAATACAGGTACATTCAGACAGACTGTATGAGAAGAATAAAGAGTTCTTTGATCATTAAAGCATGTAAAAGTGTGGCGATGAAAATTTAATTTAATTTCCCTCCTCAACACTCGACCTCCTAATTGAGTCCAGCTCAGTCTGAGCGTATGAAATGTCCAGTTAAGATACAGTGAAGATGAACTTACTTTGGGCACTTGATTGATGGTGAAGACTTGTGGTAATTTCATGAGGCTGAGCATGACTGCTGCAAGGCGCTGCTGCTGCTGCTGTCATGGAGGCGCTGAACTGAAGCTGCCCGCTGGGGTGTGCCTCATTCTTTATAAGGTTTTATGTTGCCATGCTGCTCTCCGGGTTTCTCCCCTTCATCTCCACCCTCTTCAAACCCAGCGAGAATATCCAGTGTACCTGTGCTACTCCTCCTCCTCCTTTCTCCTCCTCCTTTTTCCTCCTCCTCCTCCTCCTCCTCCTCCTTCTGCTGCTGCTGCTGCTGTCTCTGGAGGTAGAGGGTATGTGCACACAGGTGTATGCTCTCACACATAAAGGCATGCACGCACACACACACACACACACACACACACACACACACACACACACACGTGCAAGCAACACAACTGCTGTTTGGCCACGGGATTATTATGTAAATGGAGATAAGTCTTTCCAGATCACAACATCTTCACATTCACATAATGAGTCTGTCGTTTCCAAAACAGATCTCTTCTTTTTGAAATTGCACAAGTATCTCCCAAAGAGATGACAAACCAGTACAACAGGTTTCAGTAAAAATGAAAAATATTAAAAACTGAGGCTAATATTTTCTAAACATTTCCCCTGCCAGAAACTCTCAGCAAAAGAAGCTGCAAACAGACAGCTCAGCTCAGCGCTGAACTTAACAAGTGCTATCTGAGTTTCAGCCGGTCCAGATAAGGTCTAATATCATGAATGAAGGCTGTGAATAGGTCTGGCAGGAAAGTCAACAGAGTTCCTTTTATGCCACTTTCTTGCTCCTCTCCTGGTTTTTCTGACATGTCACCATCTGCCCTCAGCGGTCACACCCAGAGACCTGACGGGGCCTGTTATCTTGTTTAAACTCTGAGACAAAGAAAGCAAACAGGTCTCACCGCCACCGCAGAATTAGGAAGTCAAAAGCCTGGAGATGTGGACAGTTTTCTCACATTATAGAGAAGAAGGAAAAGTCAATTACCATTATTTTTTTGGTGTGATATGTTTTTTACTTTGGTGACATCACTGCATACAAAAGCTCTTTTGTTTTGAGCTCAAACATGTCACAGAAAGTCATGCTCGCTTAAGTTTGAACACATTAAATAAGTTAATGCTTCATCTCAACGGCTTGATGAAAACCCCACATTGTTCTGAAATGCCTAATCCTGAGCTACAAGTCCAAATTGTTCAAGTATGCATACCACACATACACATTTTATCATGATTTTCTTTTTAAGCTACGCCAAAGACATCAGCTCTTAATTTGAAAAAAAAAAAAAAAGGTGTTGTACCTGCAATCACAACAGACCGGTGAGGTGAAACACACACGTAGTGCAGAGCACCTTGGGATCTCATTCAGCTTTCTCTCTCAGAGGAGCAGAGCTGCAGAGCAACACCTCAGGTTCAGAGTGAAAAGACAACAAACAAACACACGAGTCACTTTGGGTAGGCTTGGAGTCAGTTCGTTAGTCAGTAAGACTTTAAGTGGCAACAGGTTAGACAAAGTCAAGAGGAAGGTCAAAGTGACAACAACATAGGAAGCACACCTTCGTAGCTTTATAGTAACGTTAAAGGTGATTTTAATATGATATATTTTGGTAGCAAAAGTGTTTTACTGCCCTCTCTGGTTAGAATTCTCAAGACGGGGGCACTTGTGACACCCATCGAGCAGCACTGACGAGTGGGGTCAGGAATGTGCTCCGTGGCTCCAAAACACAACCTGCATGGTGCAGATTTGAGCCAGTAGGGCAGCGCAGCACACGACACGCCGACCTGAATCACCAGGCATCAAAACACCACATCAACCAACAGCATCGTAAACAATACAAACTTATAAAAACATATCCCACATGGCTTGTAGTGGAAGAGTAAAAATAGAAAAGCTTCTGCAGTCTTTATCAACACTTACAAACTGTAAGTTTTAAGTTTAACTTGTTTTTTTAAAAGGATTCAATTAAAGTTTATGTCACAATCTCTACCACCTGCTGCTGTTTGATACCAGCCACCTCGTAGGCCTTAGAAGGCAGAAGTGTCACAAAGCACCGCCACATCTAAACTTTCATGCAATCAGTAGCCTGGCTGTTCACACCAGCTCAAGCTCATTTCTCTGTGTTGGTTAACAAATAATTATGCTCCTCTGCTCCATCCCACCTCTCTCTCTCTCTTCCCTCTGTCTGACTGTCTGTCGGCTTGTGTGAGAGAGTGTGTGTGTGTGTGTGTGTGTGTGTGTGTGCACATCGAGGGCAGGCAGTGGAATTTGGGCACAATGACAAAAAACAACAACACAGCTTTTAAGTGCAACTCGGTTCCCTTCGTTCATACCAAGGAGCCGTTGAAAAGATTCGGATCTTTCGTGAACGTTACATCACCAACAGTGATTTCACAGTTTACTGACAAAGTTGAACCACTCGAGGGAAACAGAAATTAGATTTCCAGGTAGAGTTTAAAAACCAAGAGACCACGGACATTCACGTACAGAATAAATATATATTAATGCTTTTTTTAAGTTTAAGTTGAGGTGAAGTTGATATTTGTTTGTAAAATCATAATAAAGAAATGAACTAAAGCTTTTGAATATATGTGGTAAATGCAGTGGAGTAAAAAGTGCAATATTTGGAGCGGAGTAGAAGTGTAAAGAAGCAGAAAATGAAAATACTAAATATTGCACTTAAGTACTGAACTTGAGTAAATGCATTTAGTTTTCCGCTGTTGGTGTGTGTTTGTATTTCAGCGTCTCAACAACATAGTCTTTTGAAATCCAGATTGATTGAATTGCTTCAGGGTTAAGAACTACGGCAGCTGGCGAGAAAACGCAAAAGGTCCAATCTAGAGCCAGTGTATGGTTTGTCCGTTCTGGGCCACTGTAGAAACATGACCCGCTCCTTGTGTAGATGTAAAGATTCTTAGGTAACGAAAACACAATGGTTCTGATTTTCAGGTGATTAAACACAAAAGAAAACATACTTATTAACATTATACATTAGATGCTACACACTGTTCCTTTAAAGGAAAACCCTGAATAGTGAGAAACATAAGGCACAGTTGTTTTTCCTTTAATCTGTCTGTATGAATGAAACATAAAAATGAGACTGAATACAAGCTGCCAGTACCTGCTGACACTTGTACGGTCCCATCTCACCACAAGGTGTCAGTACTTCCAAACAGAAGCTGTGTGGTGCTGATTGATGACAAGGAAAGTTTGTTATTTATTTGAGCCTGAATTGAAGGTTTTCTTTACAAAAGCTCAATATCCTTAAACTCTGTCCTTAGCTATTACTATTTGCCTTTGCATCCTTTTGATATGGGCTCATTTATCTTTCAGTAACCTTGGACTACAAAGCCAAGTGTTTTGGAGACACAGGGAATTAAAGTGCCTCACTGCAGAGACAGGGAGGTCTTGAAGCGCTGCACGCTGCTCTTATTGACTGTTAATGAGAAACAGTAACAAGTTCACTTCAGGTCAGAGTCTGAGGCCAAACTGAGCCTCCAGTAGCAAGTCCTGCATGTTTGTGTAACATCAGCACAACTGTGGAGCACATTAAGCATTCATCGAGTCGCTGCCGAGGCAAACTTTGTTTTTGTTGACTTCAGATGACTCTAAGGTCGTCCAAAGGCTTACAGCACAGATATTGATTTTTATTAAACACAACAAATGTAAGGATTCAATTTACATATATGCAGTGGTGGAAAGTAACTCCACTTCATACTTCTTACTCTCCTACATTTATTTTACAGCTATTACTTTGCACATTCAGATTTTAAATATAAAACCTGATATGAATTTAAAGTCTGATGCACTGTTATAGATTAAACTACCCAGCAGCATATCAAGTAGTTACAGTTGCTCAATCACCTACAGCATCGAAACCCTAACCCTGACGATAACAATACTCCAATAATGACATGGTGGAAGTATTTAGTTCTTTTATTTAAGTAAAAGTAGTAATATTACAATATCAACAAATTTTCACTCCTAAACCGGCAAATACCAGAGCCTAGTCAGTGGCCCTAAGGTTCAAACTATGACGCTTTACGTTGCCCTTTAGCGTCGGTTTTGGACGTGCATGTCTCTTCAAAACAAACATCTGTCTTCACAGGAAGTTAGGTTTAGGCAACAAAAACGATTGGTTTTGGTTTAGTAAACGCTAACAACGACTCACGTGACTCAAGTGACAAAATGTCAAAGTTTACTTTGACACTGCGCTCCAAATTACATACTTTTTCTTATCTACTTTTAGCAAATACTGCAGCTGCCCTTAAAAAGTACATAGTGTTGCATGCAGTATGCATTCAGTTGGGACTTCGTCATAACATGGCACCTTGAATTTTGACCCTCTTGCTCACATGGCCGCTGCGCAGAGGATTGTGGGTCAGAATAGGCAGAATTTCATGGTGGCTGCAGTAGGACATCCTGGTATTTTTGGTATACCGTATTTGACATACAAGTATTGGGACATACTACATACTTTTCTGGCATACTAAATAGTATGTTAGTATAGGTATTGGAACGTAGATAGTTTCACACTGGACATGAACAGTGGTCACCTGGACGAAAGTCCTGTGCGTGCGAATATGGAAATACTCAAGTAAAGCAGAAGTACCTCTAATTTGTTCATAAGTAGTTGTGTAAATGTTCATAGTTGCATCCAATCACTGCATATATGTGATCAATAAAATAAATGCACACAATAACACTTCAGGTGCAGCCAATCATCTTACTTTTTATCGATTCTCTTTCTTGAGTTACTGTACCTCATTAAACACTCATTTTCTTCACACGTGCCATTTAAAAATAAACAAAAGTAATGAGTTATGATGTGCTGAGTTAGAGTCGTGATCTGTCATGGTTACAGACGGACAGATGTGCGATAGACTTCACTGAACCAGGCGGCCGCGCTGCAGCTGCTCAGAGCATTGGTGCCTCCCTGGTGTTTTGGTTGATGAGGTGTCGTTTGTGTCTCCAAATGAGGAGCGTGTGTGCGCAGACGCCCCCCTGATACATTATTAATAGTTGTTAGACTCCAGGCGCTTCTTTTTTCCTCTGTTGCATTTCAGACTTTCAAAGCAGCTTCTCCCTTTACTGAATCTAGAAATCCCCCCCGCTGAAGACTTGCTCTCTCTCTCTCTCTCTCCTGTACATCTCTATATTATTTTCCTATTATTTACTCTACCTCCTACTGCTGCTCTGTCTCCTCATTGTTCTCTTCCAGCACTGTTCTCTCTACCATTTAAACCAAAGGATGCCAGCTGCTCATGAATGAGCAAAATACAGCAATTACCAGGTTTGGAAACGGAGGCAGAGAATTTATTTTCTTTTAGTGTAATGACAGTTTCTCCATCTCTGGGGTTCATTTAGAAGAGAGACTGAGCTGAATGTGATAACACTGTCTGTTCGATGGCACAAATGAAAGCAGGTAAAGAAGTGACGTTTGAAGGCAGGGCTGATTTGGAAAAGCTTCACAGCAGACTGCTCAGGTAGCTGCTAATATGAGGGCGGAATTTTAAAGGAGTACTTCCACGCTTTAAAAAAGATATGCTTGTTAGTTTTCTTGCGGAGAGTTAGACGAGAAGATTGATACCACTTTCGTATTTGTCCCTTCAATGTGAAGCTGCAGACACCAGCCAGTTAGCTTAGCTTAGCACAAAGACTGGAAACAGGGGGAAACAGCTAGCCTAGTTCCAAATGGAACAAAATCCACCCACCAGCATCCCATGAGCTCACTAATTGGAAGGTTCGACCGGTGAGATTTAATGTGTTAATTAGTGGGTGAGATTTAAAGGTGGTGGTAGGTGGATTTTTAAAAATCTTTAGACGGAGTATAGTTAGCTGTTCCCCCCCTTTTTGGTGCTAAGCTAAGCTAAGCGGCTGCAGGTTGTATTATCTGCTTGGTGTACAGATATGAGAGAGGTAGGCTATTGATTTTTTCATCTCTAACTTACTGCCAGAAAGCAAAAAGAAAGCGTACTTACTTAAGTAGACCAGCATGCTGTTTTTTCCCCCACAGGGACATTTCCCAAAATATCAAACTTTTGCTTAAAGCTACATTGGAAGAAAGTCACTCAACACGATCAGAAACGCCCTGCTGGGACGTAAATTGCAGCTGTATTTCTTCTGTTTTCCTTTCACTGGATGCCTCCACATCCATTTTTTTCCCCTCATTTCCCACCTCCTCTGAGACCCCCCCCCCCAAACAACACACAAACAAATCCAATAACGCAGGGTTCAACGGAGTGTTAATTTCATCAAGTGGGTAGATTTATGGACACCATGAAGCCCGGGGCCTTCGGACGCCGCAGTACCAAGGATTCACTGTAATGTCACCACGGCCATCTCAAAGGCATGCGAATGGCAGCAGAAGAGGCCATGAAGAGACGGGGCTTATCGGGTTTATGTGGGGCTAATTACAGGACTGGGAGACCGACTCGCTGTCAGGAGGGACTGTAATATCATTAGCGTCGAGGAAGGAAGAGGAATGAGGTGAAGTGTGCGGCTGTGAGGGGGAAGTTGTGGCTGGATAGAATAAATGCCAGGAGGTAATGAAAAATGCAAGCGGGTGGCAGGAGATACAGTCCTTCTCAGGTGCCTGCGCTTCTCTCCGGATCAGAATAGCCTAATTAGGATAAATTATTAATCAGGATTGTTTTTTCCTCTGAGCAGTTTCACAGAGACGCCGTTCAGTATGAACAAACTGTTTCTCTGCTGCAGTCAGAGCTGCTGAACGATGGACTTTATAGGTATAACGTCATGAGAATAAATAACAAGAAACTATTCTAATTTAAATTGGCAATAAATGAGGTTTCTGGAGATATATAAAACTCATATCAAAGGTGATATGAAGAAGAGAATAACAGATATAATCTTATGGATAGCTGATGGACTAATGCCTTTGTATTGCCTGTTTATTGTCTTAATGTTTTTTTATATATATATATATTCATGCAGAGACTATGAAAGGTAAACAATTTGAAATGAGGTTTCTTGCAATAAAGTATCCTATATAATATGTAAATTATGCATATAAATATACATTAAAATATTAGAAAAACAACAATGGACTGAGGATGCAACTATATTCAGTATCGATTGATCTCCCATTATTTTATCAATCATCTGTATATTGGTCTTCACATGTCTAGTCTTATCAACAGTCCCAAAAAAGATCTTTCTTCTGTTTTTGATGACAAAAGACAACGAAAAGCCGTAAATCTTCACAATTGAGAAGCTGGAACCAAAAAATGTTGATGCATATTTTGTTGAAAAATGGCTTTAACCAATAATAGATTAAAACAATTGTAGCAGATTCACTTTCTGTTGATCAAGGATAATAAAGTAGTCATTAATCGTTTCTTGGGGATTTTTCATTAAACTGCGTTAAATATCAAAGAGGAAGATATCCGACCAGAAGTTTAAGAAAAAATGCTTTTATTTTTTACACCTATAAAAAGCACATCTTTAAAGCACAAAGATTCACTCTGTATAGAAACGCCTCTCTTCCTTGGACTAAAAAAATGGTAGCATTTGCACATTGTGCTTGAATTGCAGTCTGTACATCCGCTCTGGGTCTGTCTCCTGTGGCGTTTACGACCCCAGTAAACATGTTATTGCATAAATCACATTTGACCACAGTGGTCATTTAGTTGGAAAGACAGAAACAAAAAGAAGAAAAAGAAGCTGTGAAACCCGTTGCACAGTGAACAATCATAGCAGCTCTCTGAATGAAGGCGGTGCACATTGTCCTGGAAAGAAAAACAACAGAAAACGTGACAATAAACGGCAGTTGTGCTTTTTGTCTATCTAGTAAAACATCCCACTCCTCTGCAAACAAATGACAAATGATGCAAAAATAAAACACTCAAAACAGAAGAAAAACTTTCAAAGAGAATTTACAGCTACCGGCTCTCTTCCCTTTAAAACGGTAGCCGACTAAATGCTAATCTCTAGTTGCACACGTCCCCTTTACGACAAGCGAGTTTTCCACGTCTTCTCGCTGTAATTCAACCTACATTTGAAAAACTAGCATTCCTCAAAAGGCAGTGTGTCTCTGCGACATCTCAAAGGAGACTAAACATCGTTAAATGCTGAATGGAAATCGGTTTGCACAAAAATAGACAAATTCCTACATACTTGACTCAATGACTTTGGTATAAACAAAATACAGACAGTCATTCACACACAGAACTTCCATTGCTGAACGTTTGAAACTACATATTTCTACCTGTCCTGTCAAAATGGCTCACTCAGAAACGAACAAAAATAATCAGCAAGCGTACAAAGAAAACTGGAATTATCAAAACGTGCATTCATACCTCCTCTCTGGGATATTTGATATTTGAACATCAATAGAATTCCTTCAACCCACAGAATAAACCTCGAGAAAAGAAACCGGACAGTTTGGGAATGAAGTCAAAATGTTTTGGGGGGGAGAGAAAAGGAAATAATATTTCAGTGATAAAGTCATAATATTTCAAGACAAAAGTGGTTATACTCGGATAAAGTCGTGGATTACAAGGTTACTATTTTTCCTTGCAAAAGGTTTTTTAATTTTCCTCTCAATGTTATGACTTTATTCCTGAAATATTACAACTTCTTTCTTGAAATCTCAGATTATTGTCCTTAATTTGTCGTAAATCCTCACTTAGTTCTGAATGCAGAATGAGTTCCAGATGAAGCTGCGAGGCGAGGACGATGTACCCGCAGCCTTTAATAATGACTTTGAAACAAAAAGCAATACTTGTTCTCTAACCAACGCTACATCGGAATGAATCAACGCTTCTTTGATTTACTCTCATCAGCTCACACGACGACAACTTGAAAGCGGGGAAAAACGTTTTTCATCTCGAAGTTTACATGAAAATGACCAAAAGAAAAACTCCCCATCAGCACCTTCAGGAAGAACAAACCGACCCGATTCCCCTCCATTAATAATCTTTACGGTAGATCGATGGAAGCTTCATTGGTGCTGAGGGCTCCACTTTGTTTTGAGTGCTGACTCATCCCCGACTCGCCACTGTACTGCGTGTGCAGCCTCTCCAGCCTATTAGCCGGTTGAATCGTTAGTGTCTCGGCGAGCTTTCCTTCTCCTCGCACAGCGGTCAACAGGTCGGCTCTCGGATTAAAAACACCGAGTTCACCCATCCACAGCAGCCGAGAGCCTGCCGGGACTGACAGCCTCTCGGTGCTCGTCAAGAATTGACCTCCACCGTCAGTACTCCTGGCATTGTCTAATTAAACGTTATGAACCGACGTGTTAGCGAGATGCAGTTGTGCCCTCTGCTGCCCACGTCTTTCCATCCAAATGCACACGACGCATACATACCACCACCACCTACACCTTCCTGCAATTATCATCTGGAAGTATGAGTTCCGGAAGGAGAGCTTTTACAGGTGAATGTCCGAAAAAGGTCAAAAGCGGAGCATGAAACGGGAGCTGATGGTGCTGATGTTCAAACCGAAAGGGATGTGAAGATTCCAAAGATTAACAATGATCGGTCAATGTTTGCAATTTAAAAGAGAAATGCAAGTGTTGGTTTGAACTTCACAGCTTGTCCCGTGAGTGGAGCTTAATGATGACACTGCCGGCCGTTATTTACACTTATCAGGGACATTGATCATAATTTGAATGTGTCAGAGTGAGCCAAGATTTAGTCATTTACATACATCTGTAGTCAGACTAGTTTAAAGTACCGGGATCTGAAGAAGTCTGCACGCTGGGGATTACCCGAGTGCACATCGAGACAACACAGCCATGAGGAATTTCAATATGTTTAGCCGACCGTCTCAATCTAAACTGTTTTCTAGCTTTCGCCCACAAAAATGTGCTAATGAGAGGAACAGAGCAACGGTGACTCCTGAACTCAAAGCGATGCAGAGCTAACTATTTGTAGCTGTGTTCTGCAGTGGAACATAAATAATTAAGTGTGTTTGTGGCCAACTGAGGGACTTTAGTGGGGTTTGGTTAGAGCTAAGAATGGTAGCACACAGCTTGATGTCTTAGAAACGTCACATAAAGGTAACAGTAACACAGCGGCTTCTGCATTGACGGGTAAAATCTAGGACAGATTATGAATTATCTCAGGGAATATAACACAAACTCGCATGTTGTGGCAGCATGCTACCTGCAGTCCTCCATGTGACACCTGGAACGCAAACTAAAGACGCAGTCATGCAGTCATCTCTGACCAGGTGTGGCTACACAACAGCTCAGCTATACACAGTGGAATTATGGGTAGGAACCAAGGAGGTACGCTGGTAGCAGAGCCGCTTTAACTGTCTGAACCCAAATATGGTGGTTTGAGGTGTTTATTCCCCGGAGCAGTTTAACAGATACCTAAACTGTGACTTAATATTTATATTAAAGGAATCAATATAATCCGTCCCCAAATGATGTGTGTTTGATGGAAAAAGAGACTGGAAGCATAAAACCTTTCTACAAACGGACGACAGCGAAATTAATTTATCTCACCCAACAGCTTAAACATGGTGTGTTTGAAAATACGTCTTGATTTAAAACTTCTAAGTCTTGCGGCTTATCTGATAAAAATAACTTTGCAGTGGAGGAATTAAACCCAAAATGTTGAAGTATTTCATATTAATAAGATAAATTGATTTGGCAACATTCTCCTCCTCATAATATATTCAGTTTTTTTTGTTTATTCATTTCAATAAACTTTGCAAATCTCGGATGAAGTGGTAAAAAGGAGTTTTATCTGTCTCCAACGCCATATATTGTTACTCCACACACACACACACACACTCTTCCTGAACGCACACACTCACACTCTGAAACTAGGTCTGTGCATAATTACAAACACTAGCTCAAGGAAAAACACAGGAGGGGAGAGCTACAGTCAGTGTTGCAGAAAATATGAAACCTGCAACAGAGCACACGAGAAACTTTTAGTGTTGAGAGCTGCAGCTGAATGAACTCGTCCTTTAGATTATGAACCTCGACCAGAACGCACGCACACAATGTGAGCACTCGCCTCACATTCAATCACCCGTTAAGATATATTCAGGTATATTCATCTCGGCTGTATGCGAGTTACAATTTGTTTAGTTGTGCTTGGCACGAATCCCTTTTAAGTAGTTTTTCCAGCGCTTGACCACGTCCTTAAAGACGGGAGCGTTGTCTATGGATGCCAGCAGCTGCAGCTGGTTAATATGCGTGGTGTGATAGTCCCAGCGTGCCAGGTTGGGCGCCGTGGTCAACATGAAGTGACGGAGGTCGTAGATGCTCCCAGACCCCGTGTCAAAGAGCGGCAGCATGGCCTTCAGCGACTCCATGCCGCGGCTGAACAGCTGCCCCGCCTCCCTGCCGAGCTTCTCTCCGGCTGTCTCAGTCAAGTCGTGGAGTCCCAGCAGGGAGTAGATGAAGCCGTTGAGGACAAAGGAGCTGGGCGTGGTGGGGTACTCTTCATACCAGTCGTACTTGTTCATGAACACGGCTTTGACCCCGTGCTGCGCTGAAGGCACCTTGTAGGGTCCGACCGCCTTGAGGGCGGCGTTGAGGTACGCCTGGTCCTTGGTGAGGAGGTAGGCTCTCACCAGGGTGGACATGGCCTGGCCCTGAGCCATGGCCGAGTACCAGCCGGGCTCCAGGGGCCGGAAGCCTTCGCCCAGTTTACGGGTGACCATGATGGGCCAGCCGCCTCGTTCGTCCTGGTTGCGCGTCAGCCAGTCGCTGGCGGCGAAGAAGGCGGCCATGTGGGCAGTGGTGGAGATGGTGACGTTGTCTACGAAGCCGCGCCCGTGTAGCGTTAATCGCACCACCCGTCTGGGCATGATCTGAGAAGGAAATCAAACAATCAATTATTATGACTGGGAGTAGGATCTCGCATTTATTCAATTACGGTATCGTCTTGACATGTAATTATTTAGTGTCAAAGTTCTCATGATGAAATCAGCTAAATGTTACAAAAATCTAAGATTAATGCGGCAATATTTAGCTCTGTTCATACCGCCAACTGAAATGCAGCTTTAAGATAAACTATGATTAATTAAATAGGGTCCGGTTCAAGGCTGCAGTTAACTATTATTTTCATGAATGATTAATCTGCAGATTATTTTAATTTAACGGTTTTGTCTATCATCATTTCTTAAAACCAAAGGGGACGTATTCAAATGACTTGTTTTGTATGAAACCCATAAATAATTAGTTAACCACCACATAAGATGAAGAAAAGCAGAAATACATAAGGAAATGTTACTTCAACAATTATTTAATCAACAACAATTGATTGCTTAATCTACTATTGTTTCAGCTCTAGTCCAGTTGAATAGCCTTTAGAGCAGAGCTGTTATATCAAAAGGTACCGACGGTCTGAACCAACCTTTGTGGCCTTCACAGCCTTGGTGTTGGACAGGCCGACGCCCTTCCTGAGGTCGGTGAGCAGGTCTCGGGTCAGCGTGCTCCAGGCGGTTCGTGGCCCAACGCCGTACGTGATTTCACGGTCCTTGAAGGCGATGAGCTGCGTGCTGGTGACGTAGCGGATGGTGAACGGCGGGCCCTTCTCCGTGGTTTCGAGGATCACAGACACGCTGCCGTTGGAGACGAACTTGACGTCTAAGCTGAGGATGAAGTCTTTGGAGTTACCCAGCTGCAGGGACACGCCCTCAGAGGACTCTGTGGTGGTCGGATGAGAGGAGGGAGGGCGTTAAAAAGATGTGTATTATAAACCAAAAAACAAAAAGGAGAAAAGAAGTTTTGTGGCGTTCGGTCTGAGAAAACATGACTAACCTCATTTGACAAACTTCTGACGATTACTGGATGACATTGGACTATTTTTAGCAGAATGACAGAAAGCCTTGTACAGTGTGTGTCTGTCTCCTTTGATGTCGTGTTTCCACGAAAGCTCGTCTTTTTCCTCACGTTCCCCAGATTCACTATGCAGTCACGTTATCAAAGGATACCTCATTAATACCTTTGTGAAGTGGCTAGCCCTGTGTGTGTGTGTGTGTGTGTGTGTGTGTGTGTGAGAGAGTGAGTGATTGAGCCTCGAACACAGACCGAGACAAGCTTCTCATGGGATGTGCGGTACAGTTGTGTCACTGCACACAGAGCTTAATTAGGAGGACAGGAAGGAGGAAAAGAACAGAGGAGTTGGAAAAAGAGAGAGAGAATGAGGAAGTTGATGCACTGCAGCAACTTTTCCCATTTGCATCTCCACAACTTTTCCCTACAAATCTCAAAGTTAGGAACTCAGACATCCAGTTTCCACACAGCCACCGCTCCTCTTACATTACATCAACTCCGTACCTTTGGCCTAGCTGCTCGGTCTGCACAGCTAAAATAAAAAACAACAACAACAAGCAACAAATCTTTTCAAAGATAGCTCCTGACAGGATAAAGAGAAGAAAGAATGTAGGAGTCCGGAAAAAAAGAAGGATAATAGCAAGATGGGTCGCCTCAAGTGCCCTCAACGCCAGCCTGAGGGAGAGAGTGAAAATGAGCCAAAAGCGAGAAGACAATTGAGAATCAGATCTCACATGACATGAGCTGAGAAAGCAGAAGCAGACGAGGCCGCCTGAGACACAAAGTCAGTCGATCAGGAGGAGCGAGCCAGCCTGGCAGGGGCCTCTGGATGACTACGGCTCTTTAATGCACTCATAAATCCATTACTTAAGGCAATGCAGAGAGTAAGTGGATTTGTACTCTGGCCCCGTGATTACTCTGGCATCAATAAAGGATGGGCAGAGGGAATATAGACGAGGTTCCACCTCCCCTGCTCCGCGTCGCTCTCTGGCTGTTTAGCAGTGAGGCGGGAGACAGAGATGACATGCAGCTACAAATATGTCAGCGTAAACACAACAAGGAGTGAGCACGACGAACACGTTGAGCGCGTGTTGTGCATGCGGATACAAAGGATCCAAGCGACGAGACAACAGTCGATGCACATTGATTATTCATCCGCATCCTCCGGTGACTACTTCAGGACACACGGTGCCTAAAAAGTATTCACCCCCGGGGGAAGTCTTCCATGTTTTATGGCCACGATTCAAGGTTTTGTCCATTAAATGGTGGAAAATAGTAAAGATAATGATTATAATAACTGTCAACATTGTATTAAAGTAGGTTTAACATGCCGTTTTGAGACTGATGAAAATACTGAGATGAACAACAAATAAAAACTCAAAACACGTTTGCATAAGATTGAGCACCTTCGGCTTCTAGGTCTGCGTACATAAGTCAGTCTCCATCAGCTTTGCACATCTGGACAGAAGTTTTCGCTATTCTTCTTTGCCAAACTGCTCGAGCTCCGTCAGGCTGCATGGAGATCGTGAGTGAACAGCGTTTTTAAAGTTCACACACCAACATGGACTGAAATCTTAACTATAAAGTGTTTAAAAAAAAATATTTGATTCATTGCTGTGAGACCATAAAACATGAAAACTTCCAGACACATCTTAAAGGCGCCGTAGCCGGTGGCAGCTGTCACTACGCCGTATCTCCGTACACAGATCACCTCGCTAATTCTGGCAGGTTTGTGAAGCTTCCAAGTGACCGCGAGGGGATTCAGGAAATAAGGGTGCTCAGCGGCGGACAGTGTTCGTGCGGGAATGCGCAGATGGTAGATGGTAGGCTATTATCAAGGGACAGACGATTGATTTGAGAGGCTGTTCAACACCAGTGTCCTAGATACAGTAAGGAAGGAAAAAAAAAAGACCCAAATAGGGCGAAGGGAGTAGGAGGAGGAGGAGGAAGTGGAGGGAGGCAGAGACGGGAAGAGAAAGTGACAGCAGAGGAAGAAAACAGGAAAAGTTTGGATGACGGAGCAGAATGAGGCGTCAGAAACGCAGAGAGCACAACGTGATTGAAATGTTTAGGAAGCTGAAGCGGGCCGAGGGGGCGATAAGTGGGTGGAAATGAGTAAAGAGAGGTGTAAAACTGACTGAAATTTGGGGAGAGACGAGGGGAAGATTAATGGAGACGGAAGGCTGCCGAGGGAGGGCTGAGGGGCGATGATGAAAACATGATGATGTTGAGGAAAGAGAGAGCCGATGATGGCGAGTCGAAGCTGTAAGGCAAGGTGAGCGGAGAGCGGAGAGAGAAAGTGTGGAGCGGTGAAATGAAAGGAAATTGTTCATGATGAGAGGGTGAAAGCGGAGGAATAAGGAGGTGGGGGGAAATTACAGTGGAGGCAGCAGCTCAACAGAGGACACAGAGAGAGAGACATACAGACAGAGAGAGAGAGAGAGAGACAGACAGACAGAGAGACAGAGAGAGAGAGACAGAGACAGAGACAGAGAGAGAGAGAAAGACAGACAGACAGAGAGAGAAAGACAGACAGACAGACAGACAGACAGACAGAGAGAGAGAGAGAGACAGACAGACAGAGAGACAGAGAGAGAGAGAGACAGGAAAATATCAGCAGGAGATGAAAGGAGAATTAAGATCGCTCAGTCAGCACTCAGCAGGAGATCCTCACTTCTCACATATTCAAAAATAACTGTCAACTACCTCACGGCCGCGGTAATTTTATAGCTGTGACAATAAAATAAATCTGTCTTCCCGTTAGCGTTGGGCTGAACAATTTAAAGAAAATATGGAATCCTGATGAAACCAGACCCAGAGCTATTAGGTGGATTTGCTTAAAATATGAATCTGATTAATATACATTATGTTTAAAAGGAATAGTCTAGTGATATAAAGCGTACTCCTCCGTGCCATAGACCTCCATTGTTGTCAATAAACATTGAAAAACACATCAATGTTGCAGTGGGTGACAATGAACATGCAGTTTGTTTGACAGTCAATCTAACATACACTGTCCCGCTGCTGTAGATACTCTCAAGACTATCAAACGGTGCATTAATCTGCAGCTGAAAATAGTCCAAAACCAAAGCACTATTTACTGTGTTTGAACAGTGAAATTAAATACTTGCGACTGGTTTTTAAAAGTTAATATCTTAAGTACTCGACCACCTGCCTGAAACGATCAACTGGATTGCTTCACTAAAGAGACTCTCAAAAAGGCAATCGTTAACTACCTTCTATTAAAGCCCATATGGCACCAATCGCCTGCAAAGAGCACACCAACCAGACGAAAGCCTGGAGATTTACTCCGTCCTTTGATGAACAAATTAAGGTTAATTGTCTCCAGCTGACAAACAGTTATCATTTCAACCGCCGATACTCACGCTCTGGATAAAAAGGGATAAAAGTCTGTTGTGGGAATAATGTCGTACAAATGCGTTTTCTGTTTTCCATCAGTGTGACAAAGTCGGACTCTTTGATCGGCATAGAATGAGATGTGTGATGTCGTGTCTGCTGGCTCTTTAATCATCATGATGCTCAGGAAGCCGTCGTTACGTGGTGGGTCCACCGTCAACCAACAGACTAACTTATGGTGCAGTTGCATATCGGCCTCCTGCAGCCGACAGGAGATAAGCTGCTTTGCCCCGAGGCTCTCCGGGCTCACGGAGCGTTTGCATACCTGGAGCGCTGAACTGACGCACGGAGGTAGCTCGGGTCTTGTCGTGGACGCGGCTGAGGCCGCAGCCTTTCGGCACACTCCAGGGCGCCGCGCTGGCCCGGCTGTCTCGGTCCTCGGCCGTGTCGTAGACCTCCACGTGGGGGGGGGCGCTCCGTCAGGTTCTTGCTGTAGTGGCTCAGGCCGTACTGAGCGATCTGGATGGCGTAGAAGTAGCCCTGAGGGCCCCACTGAGTGGACAGAGGCACGCCTGGGAGGTAGAGAAGGGAGATAAGGACAATGACGTTAAATTAATATAGAAAATGATTTCATTACGCCATAAACATTGCATTATTATGCTTCTTGTTTTTTTCTGGCGGCCCTTTTACATAAAATCTTGTGCTTACATGATCGTCTCGTCTGTGGAAAGGTTTTTATTTTCAGTACTTTGCAGTCTATTTTTAAGAAAATAATACTTTTTAGATGGCAGTTGTCACAACAGCGTATTTTAGGTGCAGTGTCAAATTGAGTTCATAACCACGTTCATATCAAGAAAACTGGGCTAAAATGAATTATTAATATCAAACAATATTTTAAGACTTGGCAGTAATAGGAAACGACAGTGGCAATATCAGAGATTCAAATCTGGGCCCATTTCATAAACAGACACAGAAGGCAAAAAATGAAGCAGAATTAGTCTTTTTTCAAAAATCACCAGCTATGTGAACGACAGGACGGAGTGATGAAATACAAGCTAATCTACTGCGTTCTACCGGAGGCCAGCTCGCCTGTTTACCAGCCAGAAATAGCTCAGGCAGAAGAATCACTCTGATTAACAGATAGCTCACTTAAAGACCTCGTGACAGAGAGAGCACAAATGATGCAACCAAAACCTCATCCTTCTGAGACAAACATCATAACATACTCATGTTAGGGCTGGCTGAAAACATTCCTCCTTCATTCACATTAATCACTGCAGACGCTGATGCTCTACTTTCCTTACTGCCCTGTGTGCCGTTTTACCAAATAGGACAAAAGTATATCTTTGTTTTTATGACACAAACAGCTGATTATGGGTTTTCATTCCAGCTCATGTGAGTGTAATTAATAGCGGAGGTGAAGAATTAACCCTAACAGTAACAACTAGTTGACCATAAGCAAACTGTTTAGAGACCAGTCAGCTAGTAGTGGTAGTATTAGTTAACAATACATTACATTACAGTCATTTAGCAGACGCTTTTATCCAAAGCGACTTACAATAAGTGTATTCAACATCGGTTTTCAAGAGAACTACTAGTCACCAGAAGTCATAAGTGCATCTCCTTTCGTCAAACAAGCATCTAAGAGCATAAACCAGAGCCAACGTACAGTGCAGAAGCAAACAAATGCAATAAGTGCCACAAACTAATAAGAAAACAATAAGTGCAATAAGCTAGTATGAATACAATAGATGCTAAGTAAATGCTAAGTGGAAGGCTCAGGGTAGGCCTTTTAATCTAAGACATTTAATCTATATTGCACCTTTCATACAGAAAATGCAGAATTAAGTTAAACAGAATTATTTTCAAATTTGTCTTCCAATCTGGAACGTCTAACATCTACCTCTGGTCCTCCCATTGTTAAAGAAATGAAGTCGCTATTCATCAAAACCCTCCATCCACCGCCGATCCCATTATCTTCATGGACTGTGTGTGTGCATTACTGTGAGGACTTCGTTCAGACAGACCAAATCCATTGCACAAAAACAATCACAGCATCTTTAACTGTAGAATGACCGTCGCATTGCGGAGCAGAAGTAAAATATCTCCAACTCTCCAATGCAAAGCGCCTCGGCAGCTCATCCACACAGACTTCTCATGCGTTTGAATCGATTTATTTCCTTCAAAAGTCAAAGTGACATACAGATGACTATCGAAAAGTTTATGTCTATTTTTATAAAGGGACAAGTGCCGCATGAAATGCATATGCGCACACACACACACACACTTTCCAGTCCCGTGCCAGACTTTCTCTCCATGCCTGTCTTGTTACTGGCGTCTCCCCTGACAACTTAAGTCAAATGACAGTCAAAATCCTGACACTGGAACGCTGTGCTTCTCCCTGAATAACACTAAGTAATCCACGTGGAATTGACTGTTAAGCCGGCACATATTTTAATGACTCCAGAGGGCGGAATTTTCTAGAAATCTGAAAAACTAGGTCTTCTGCCAATTACACTGTAGTCTCTAAGCCTCGGAGGTTAATATTGCTGCTAAAGAGCTCCACCGGCTCGTTGGTATTCAAGCTTTGCTTTTGACCTCCAGTAGGTCTGCACGACTGGAACAACTGGTGGAAGGTGAGTCTACATTAAAGCTCCATTAAGCAATATGTTTAATATTAACATTGAACCAATTGACTAATGTGTCGTTTGTTGTGCTGAGAATTAAAAACCCAACTATGTATTTGCATCGTTTAGTTTCTTTAAACTGTTTTTGAGCAAACAAACTTGGACGATCTCACCGTGAAGAACCAAAGTAAAGTGGTGGAGAAAGTCCAGCATGTTGCAGCTCACGTGTTTTAATCAGGACTAGGGTTAACTACAGAGAATACTTTTGACCGGTTCCGCATGCTATTTTATAGATTATTTTACGGTCTATAGATTACTTTAACATCGGCGCCGAAGCTTCCTTTTGGCGCCCATGTTAACTAACAGGGCTATTCAGACAGGGTCCTGGTGTGTACGGCTCATAAATAAAACGATTGGTTGATGGTTAATGTAAGCAAAATTTACCGAAACTGGACACACACACGTCATGCAGTCAGAAACATGATGCATGTTGCTCTGTGCCTACTGGATGCGTAAGTAAACTGGGCAACAACCAATCAGGTTGTGTTTCTGAGACTTTCTGCCTCCTAGTGGCCAACATATCTTAATATAGCTTCATGTCTTTACATTACAGCTGGGTGTTCTGGCCGATTACATCACGAAACACTTACTATGTTTATTTAGCGGCACGTACCACCTTCTGCTACTAAGTGTTTCACAGAATACAGGACTTGATCAGCCGACAATCTGCAGGCAGCAGCTGGCTGTGACCCGGCTCCAGACGAGCAGTGTGAGCTTTGTCCTGGATTCACAGACTATTCATCCACATCCACCTCCATCGGAGAGAGCTGCATCCATCTTGGTCAGCACGCTGAGTGTGCGCAGGTGTTAGGTTAAAAAAGATCACTTGTCATGCATGTTTGCATCGAAGGTGTAAGTGAGAGTATGTGTGTTTTATCAAGCACTTAAAAAGGTTAGAATAACTCTGTTTAGACTGTGTGTGTGTGTGTGTGTGTTGGTGCAAATGTTTAAGTGACTTCGGTCTGCAATAGAACCCGGGAGTGAAGATAAAGATGGTTGAAGAAAAAGCGAGAGACACAGAAAAGGAGACCGAGCGTGATTTAAGAGGATTAACTACTTCCACTAATGATAGTGCTCTGGCTGCTGGAGATTCATTATTCTCAACTTTTGTTCTTTGCAACAAGGAAAAGAAAGACCCTCAATTTCTAACCCTCCACTATAAAAACCACATGCCCAGAAGGAGATGCGACAAGTAATGGCACATAAAAGTGCTGCATTTTTATGTCTGTCTAATAATAAAAACCTTGATAGCATACTTTTGTATTCAGATTTCAGACTCATTCATCTGAAACGCTCTCTATTTGAAGTTTTTTTTTGCCCCCATCCCAATAGTATCTCAAAGACTGCTTGAGATGTCTGAACCATCTGGTTGCATGTCGAATGTTTTGACTCCTGACACAAGTTATACCCCAACAATATGGCCAGAGTGAGGACATTTAATGCTGCAGAGGATCCTGTTAAATAACTCTTCCATGGGCAGCAGGGTGCGTTGGGAGTGGAGGGCTCCCGTGACCTTGTTTAAGCCCTGCTGTAACTTGGACTGTGACAGGCTAATTAATGAACTGCTATTTTAACCTATAAAAATATGCTAAGTTGAAGAGAGGTGTGTATTCTTGGGCGTGTGGAGTGCTAAATAGCAAGGAGCCTGGGGCTTAATTAATGGACCTTGTTAAATTGAGTGTGTGGATTCCCGTCTGACCCATTTCCCGCTTCATCTCTTCCCTCCCATACATGTGTTTGTGTAGTGGGTCCTTAAGTGGGACTGCAGTTCACATACAATTTTTTTTTGAAAGCCATTTATTGATAATCAGCCAAACTCATTGGAACTAATTGACCAAATATGTAATCAGGCGTTTTGACCGGCGTCATAATTCTGTATTCTCTGCATCCATGCGAGAGTTAAAGCCTCTGAAAGTGTAGAACAGAACGACAGAATGTACTTCATGCAGACTTTGCTGTAAAGAAAACTACTGCGTGTGTTGTTCTCTGTGTGTGTGTGTGTGATGAGCAGAAAAGCAGATTCATGCTACCAGGTACATAAGAAGCCATTGTGGGGAATTTGCACAGTCCTTGTCAACAAAAATACCGATTTATTTCTGGCAAATTGCTCTTGCAGACATTGGCTATTATTACTCATCAAGCTAACCTCAGCAACTGCCACATTGACAGTGAATATAATAGTATATATAATATAACAATACCTTTTATTACATCGCCCCACAAAAACAAAGGCTTGTTTCTTGAGAGGAAAAGGACTGCGGACGAACAACTACATGTCTGTAATTTTCACTGTTGAAAATGATATGATAGAATTTGTAAGGAACAGATATATTTTGGGTGTTTCTTTTCTTTTACCGGTGGATCTAGTTGTCTGACAATAAAAGCTGAGCCATAAATATCTATTTTGTAATTTCAGGTGAGTATAGAGGGTCACTTCTTCAAGCGAGCGAGGAAATTATATTGTTGACAATGTGGTTTCAACTAACGGCCTTTTTAAATGAGCTATTGATCCTTCCGGGTAATTATTTTAAAAGGAACCTTGAGGAAAAAACAACTTTCTGGATGGACTCAAAGTGGGAAAGTAACATGGAGGGATACACTCACTTAACAGACTTCCAGTCAGTTATCGATACAAAGACTTGCTGATTGTGCCTATGTGAAGAAAAGATACATTTTTAAATTGAATTCGCACAAATCACTTTAGGCAGTGTTAACGAAAGGCTAATAGTGTTTGGGAATGGGGGGGGGGGCAGAGATTAAGCAAGAGCTTTTAAAATCTGATCAATTTTGTTAATCAAGTACAGAATTTACAATTCATCACTTAGCTGGAACAGACCTTTTTAAGTAAATCATATATATATATATATATATATATATCACATGTGTCAGTGACACAGGGTTTATTAAGCACCTAAAAAAAGAAAGAATCAAAGTCAAGTTTCAAATCAAATCAATACTCCTGTATCTTGGGTTATTATATGAAGAAATACGCACCAAATGTCTCCCCCCCCAAAAAATAAACCTAGAGGGTCTTCAGAATCAAAAATAATCTTTTTATTACACGTGTCAAAGGTGCCACATTGTGAAGTAATATGGCAAAAGAATGAATGTGAAAATTTTTTGACACCTATTTTTTTTGGCATTTCTTATTGAGAAGATGCTGTTGATCTTTGCCACACACGCGCACACACACACACACACGATTTTCTAGTATCCAAGAAGATAGGGGCATCTGACATAGGTGTGTATTCTCAAACATCCTTGATGAACATCAATGACAAGAAAGATAATCTTACCTTCCACTCCACTTATACACTTGACTCGGTCGCGGACCTCCACATTGTACCCCTCAAATGACATGAAGACCCCGTCGGGGTGGTAGGGCTCGCGCTGCGCGTAAACCTTTGAATAGCTGTGCTGGAACTCGAACCGGTCGTAGCCGTCGTACTGCGCCACTTTGCCGTACACCTCGAAGTATCTCTCCATCCAGCTGAAGGGCAGGTATATCTCTCCGCCCTCCCGCCGGCCTTTGATGGTGGATTCGTCATTGATCAGGCAGTCGATATCTTCATACTTGAGCCCTGCGACGACACCGACGACGGGCGGGGGCTCCGGCGGTTGTGGAGGGTGTTGCTGGCTGCTGATGCTGGCGTCCCCCACCCTGGGACTTGGGGCCACCAGGGCAGCACGGGGCAGGAAGCGCAGGGAGGTGTCGCTGGAGCAGCGGTTCCACAGCAGCACCGTGATGAGCGTGAAGAGGGCACAGATAACGATGAGGGTCTTGTAGTTCACCCGGGCAGCCAGGCAGCGCATGGTCACAACTCGCCTGCAAGACACAAACACAAGAGAAACATCAGAGGAATTTGAACCGACAGTGCAGCGAGAAGGACAAGCTGTGTGTGTGTTTGTGTGTGTGTGCTCAGTTTGTCCTTTCAGTAACAAAGATTCAAATGTTTAGCAGTGGAAACAACTTAGTCACTTAGTGTCAGTTTCAGTTTTAGTGAGAAATCCTTTTCAAAACAAGGATGGGATATGTGTAATGATGATAAAATCGAATGAAAACAAATTAGCTACATGGTAAATTACACTGCTGAGCAGAAGTGTTATCCAGCGTTAATCTCATGAAACTCTACATAAACCCAAAGGAATGCAGCTTGGAACAACTTTCCCTAAATACATTACAAGTTGTAATTTGTGTCAAACACACATTTTTGTTTGGTGAGGATCGTCTATCTGTAGATGAGTCGGAAGCACACGAGGAGCGCGATGGTAATTGTAGGAGTACGACGTAGTTACGACTGCGGTCGCACATGTAAAACGGCAGTTTTGTGACCAATGAGAAGCTCTGGATTGCGCTTTGAATGCCAGCATGTGCATGTGTGTCTCATTTACTACCCAACAGACAACCATTGTCTGAAATTGGTCTTTTGGCCTACTCGTCCATCATTTTTACTTCTTGTTTTTGGGACGCTTTCCAGTCACTTCTGCTCCTCATTGCAACACAAAAACTCTTCTATCTGGCACACTTGCAATTAAATATTTCAACATTTTGGGAAATGTGCTTTGTGCTTATGTGCTTTCTTGCTGAGAGTTAGGTTGAGAACATTGACAGTAAATATGTAGCTGGAGCTAGTAGCTGGGTTAGCTTAGCATAAAAACAAACAGTTAGCCTGGCTTTGTCCAACAGTAACACAATCTACGTTAACTATCAAAACCTCGAAAGTTCACAAATTGACACGTTACAGCTCGTTTGTTTTATCCTTAAAAAAACGGAAGTTTAAAAGCAATTTGCCATTTTACAGGGTGTTATGTTCCGGACCATTCCTTTAAACAAATAGTCCTTAAGAAGTAGCGACAAGACAAATAGTATCTCCCCGACGCTGACCTCCCATCATTGGCTACCAGACAAGTCTATTTCAGGGTTCTTTTTGTTTAATTTTAGAGCATTGCAGCTGTGTTCATCTATGACCTGCTCAGCCCATGTTGCATCTACAGGGCTCTTACTTTGGAAAAGTTTACACCATCATTCACAATTAAGTTGAATATTGACATTTCCAAATCAAGTCTTAAGAAACGTTTTCTTTTACATAAAAGGTTATTGTCACTTCAGGATTTGTTTAAATTCCGTCTGTATCAGATTCTGTGCATTTCCGATACATTCATCTATTTCACTGTAATTATCGGACCGTATTTTAAACTTTGATCAACATTTGCCATCATAGTGACATTTCTCGCTCACGGCAAATCAATAGCCGTTCAACAACACTTGACATTGCATAGATTCTATTTTAGTTACAGCTTTGCTGAGGGCCTAATTGGATATGAATGAAGACCTCAAACAATGCAATGCGACACACTATTGGATGAATCAGTCTGGATCCATGTTTTCATGTCCTCTGTGTTTCTCTGGCATTTTCACCGAGCCAGCGGGAAATCAATACAACCCGAGGTCTCCTCCTCCACACTAATTACAGCTCACCGCTCAAAGAATTCACCATTACAGTGACGAAGGAGTCAGGTCCTCTGATGACGGAGGGAGGAGGAGGAAAATCATTATACCCAAAGTTCATTTCAATATCCCACCTTAAACGAGACACTACCAAAGGTCAGCTCAATTAATGTGTGTTAATTGGACGATAGCAATGTCCTACAGCATTGCAGAGTCAAATTATAGTGCTAGTGGCCTCTGGAACAAAGTTAATGGTTGAGGTGACTCTTACCAAATAGCAAAGTGGACTTCTAGTAGTGCTTTAACAAGCAAATGTTGAGGGATAGCACATTGTAGAAGATGAAGAATAGCCTCCTTTTAAATTAAGATTTAGGGGTAGAACTGTAAAAGCCAAACAATAATATAATATTGTTATTATAATATATTTAGGCTGTGCGTTAGTAGGAAAGGGTTTGAGATGTGTCCACTCAGAACATCTCTTTCTCCGATAAACAACTGAACTATTTTCTTTCCACGAGAAAGAGAAAAAGGAGACAAAAAGTGTTGCTATATTTCTTGTATAAGTTCTAGTTTAAAACCTGTTGCTGTTGTGTTCCAGTCAGAGGTGGGAAAAAAAAAAAAAAAAGCACTGATTCATCTCTGCGGCTGATTGATTATCACCACATATAAAAACTATCATTGACATTTACAGGTGCTGCTTTGTACAGTAATGAAAGAATAGCCAACAGGAGCTTTTTTGAAATGGTAAAAATGGCAAAGGAGAGGGCCTGGGGACTGCAACCTGAAAGATAAGTAGGAGCGGCCCCGTCAGGGAGCCGACTATAAATAATTGGCTCTTTTTATAGTGATTCGGTGCCGGTGTTGAGCTCAGGCCCAAGGTGGATAGACACGGGCTTAAGCACTGCAGCATGGAGAGGTATCGCTATGCCTCGCGCCGACTACGAGGGGATCCGTCAAGAAGCCATGTCCCATTTCCTGAACGTAAATTTACACGCAACAGTAAGCACACCGGAAGAGGAGTTAATGTCACGGGTGAGCAGATTACATGATGCAGTTTGTTTGTGGATCAAAAAAAAAAAAATCACAGAGTGTTTTGATTCGGGCGATACCTCTCTCTCCCCCGTCTATTTCTCATCCACATCTGACACAGAAATCAGCATTTGATCATTTACCACCGGGTGGAAATCTGCTCTGGAGGTTGAGAGATCCACTAGTAACCATCTCTAGAGGGATGGGAATTATATTTAAAGAAGAGCAAGAGAGCAAGACAGCAGAGTAGAGACGGGTACAAAAAAAAAAAGAGACGAGCAAGAAAGTTAAACTAAAGAAAATAATTCATGATGTTCCATATTTTATTAAATTCTTTGGTTTCCCTTTTGCATCTGATAAACCTTTTAACACGCGCTTCTTTTTGCTCAAACTTTAATTCTTTGGCCTTAAACCAGACGAATCCCCCCCCAATGCGTTGTTTTAATGGAGGGCTGTTTTCAGTCTAAATCCCGTCTTAGGCGGCACAGCCAATAAACACGTTTATTTTAATCCACGTAAAGAGTAACAACTGGCATCCAAGTTGACAAAAACAGTTGAGTTTAACACCGTTATTAATGTCCTCTTTTACTGTGTTTCCACACATGAGGACATTTGTAAATCACATCCGCTGCTGATACTCGACTTAATTACAAGGCACGCAGACAACATTTGGCTAGTTGCTCAGACAGTAGCTGCATTGTCTCCGGTGCATTTTGACCCAAATTCACTTTCATCTATTCGGAGTCTGTTCTCACCAGAACAGCGTCATCGGTTGTTTACTCAAAAGCGTACTGTGACTTCTGTTTAGCAACCTCTTCAGTTGTTTAAATAATGACTTCTTCACTCAGTAGCGAAGACAGGGACTGTGTGGTGTGTCGCACGACCACAGAAGCCGTTATGGAGAGAGTCGGAGGGAATAGTTGAGAGTTAAACACTGGAGACTGCAGTTTGTTTCCTGCCAACGTCCACTTTATTATTATTCATCTTTTTAACGATAAAGGCAATCCTTCCCTTACCTTAACCACGAAGCTTTAGAAAGAGCTCGGGGACAGTGCCATGCATCATTTTTATTTCCTCCTTCAGGTATGAGGACTTGTCTAGGAGATATGGATGGACCTTCGTGTAATCCACTTGTTATCAGCTCAACTCAGGAAGTGCTGCATCGATATAATCCCTCTGGTAATAACACTGTTTTGATCTGGAGTGAAGCCTACACTGAAATAAAATATATAAATAAATAGAAAAAGACAGATGCAACTTGACAGGAGGTGAAAGACAAACTGTTTGAGTATAAAAGTCTTCCGTGCCTGACAGATTAAGGAAAAAAGACCCTGGAAAACAAAAGCAGCTTTTCAGTTTTACGTGCTCCCAGAGTCCCGCCTCAGGAAACAGAGAAGTGCCTTAAATAGCCGGCAGTGCCTTGTTGAGGCTTTAGATCTTTATATGATGTCATCGTTCTTTGTGCCTGAATGATACCTGAATGATAAAAACCATGCAGGTCAGAAAAGGAACGAAGGAAAGCTTCGGCACATTAAACCTCGATGTGAAGTGATTCCCTCCTCACTCAGCATGAGCAGGAAGAATGGGAGGGAAGTTTGGGCCACTTGATTATTGAATCCCTATATTAACAATTAATCAATTTATAATTAGCTCGAGATTATCAGCTCGACTTTCACTGAGCTGCTATTTAGAGGGAAATTTGTTATGCATATTTCCACATTTAAAGAAAAATGCTAAGGTTGCATTGTGTTTCAAATCATTCCTCTCTTTGCATATTTACAGGCCTGTCACACCTTCACAAGCTTTGTATGGTGCTTTGTTTATCTCAATACAAAGCCAAGAGGCAAAGGAAAACACTTTGTAACATGGCCCAGTTTCGCTATATACTGAAGCTATTTGGAAACATATTGCATACGTGGCTGATTGAGAGATCGGTCTGCCTATTGAATTATTTGCCATTTTTTCCAAAAAATGCCAAACATACACTGGTTCCAGCTTCTCCGATATAGCAATGTGCTGCTTCTCTGGGTTTTATTTGATACTAAACTGAATATCATTAAGTTTTTGACTGTTGGTCCAACAAAATTAAACATCTGGAGAAGTCACCTGGTGAAAAAAAAAAATTTTCACTTTATTTTCTGAAATTATACAGACAAAACGGTCAAACAATGACCGAAAAGAACCGTCAAATTAATCAATAATCATAAGTTGCAGCCCGAGATGTATGATTTAAATTATTCAATAATTTAGGAAAATAACAGGGCATTGAAAATGGGCTTTATATAAGAACTAAATGCAAAATGTACAGTGTGCTAACAATTACAAAGAGCTGGTAAATCCCATCGGAC